CACGGGCATTTTGCCGCGAAAACCCCCGTCGGATCTGTCGATTTAATGTATGGGAAAAAACATAGCCTCTGCCCTTCCCAAGAAGGAATCCACTATCAAGTATACGGGGAATCCAGAAGACAGTTACGTCAGGAAGAAGGAACTGACCATCGCATGTTCCGCCTTCGCATTACATGGATCATCGATTCGCCAAACAGACGAGCTCTTGAATTTTACATACCTCTACTCTAGGTTACCATAATCTAAAATTATGATATCCGTATTTTCTTCCGAGAGTAATGTCATTTTCTGAATTATTAATATTTTTAAGTGAAACTTCTTATGTTACGATACTTGTGGGGCAAGTTCGCATGATAAGAAAAAGGAGCGTATCGATAAGTGAAAGACTTTTTCTCAGTCAAGTACTACTTACGTTCGTCTTTATGTGTTAGTATTGTTATGTCTAAAACATCCAGTACCGAAAAGGCATTTCATGAAACAGTAATAAAGAATAGTTAATAATAATTCTCGGTAACTTCGTTTCGCTTCCAACGCGCCTCGTGGCTATGCACTGATTTTAATTCAACATGTTTTGCTAAATATACATGATAAGATCGTTGAGAACAATCGATCTTCAGTGACGTGTGTTAGTATTGTTACGTCTAAAACATCCAGTACCGAACGCGAAACGGCATTTCGTGAAAGAATAATTAAGAATAGTTAATAATAATTCTCCTTAACTTCGAAGTTTCGCTACCAATGCGCCTCGCGGCTACACACTGATTTTAATTCAACATGTTTTGCTAAATATACATGATAAGATCCTTGAGAACAATTGATCTTCAGTGGCGTGTGTTAGTATTGTTACGTCTAAAACATCCAGTACCGAACGCGAATAGACATTTCGTGAAACAGTAATAAAGAATAGCTAATAATAATTCTCCTTAACTTCGAAGTTTCGCTTCCAACGCGCCTCGCGACTACGCACTAATTTTAATTCAACATGTTTTGCTAAACATGTATGATAATATTGTTGAGAACAATCGATCTTCAGTGGCGTTATCTCGGGAACGTCCATTATGTGGTTCCTCTGGAAAGAGGGTGAGGCCGTACTTCAATGAGAACGATCTACAAGAAGAGGACCTCTCCTGGCCAGGAAGGATGGAGAGGAACAAGGATAAGGGTGCTATTTCGAAGATGATACGTGCTCTCTCCCTCCCTCTCGTCTTCTATCCTTCTCTGCAGGCCTGAAGTCCTTCAGAAATAATACACCCGAGATTGCTCCCGTTCGCTCTCCTCCACCTGGGCTCCTTTTTCCTCTCTTCCTTTCCCCTCGCATTTCCCGGCCTCCACGGGCAAAAAAAGGGCCGAAGGAGGGGAACCATTAATTTCCGAAACGATTATGTGGAATCGAACGTTCGCTATTCATTAAGGATTTACCGGGGCCCAAGAATTAAGGACCTCCGGATGAGCGAAGATGCACCTGGTGCACCTTCTACCAGGATTCGCACAGGCAAAACGGAATGTCGAGGACCTGCGGGGGGCGCGGTACCGTGGTTGAGCTGCTTATGGACACAAAAGAAAATAAAGAGAAAAACCGCAGAAACGAATGTCAAGGTACGCGAACGAAAATGGTAGGAGACAAACACCTGGTTACTCACTTTTCGGCAGGACAGTCATCGATCGGAGCTACTTGAAGAATGGAACTTTCCTGCAACGATTGAAAAAAAAAATAAAATTGTTAAGTTCACAACATTTAATTTGCATTTTTAAGACACATAAAACAAAAAAAAACCAATCCACCATTGGTTTTCTTGATTCAACCTCCCCTTCGCTAAAAAGGGTATCCCTATAGAGAAACGATGCATTCCAGCAACCCTCAAACGTACCACACAAAAACGTACCACATGCGGTCTTAATCACCACATTTTTAATATGATCTCCGGAAGACAATAATATACAACTGTGCAAATGGAGAAAACAAATTAATTATTCGGAACTGATCGGTCATCCCCCATAACCACGTCGGCGTACGCCCTCACGTCGCAGATAAATTGTATAAAACATAATTCATCATTTGAAGTGACGACACAATCGTCTTAATTAATTTTCGTTTACAGAATAGGTTCAATTTATATCGAACATATCTCAAGAGGGATGTTGATAAATGAGTAGAATTGTTATGAAAAGTGTAGATTTTTAGATAGGCCTTAGGAAGTCAAAACGCACTCAGTTTCTTTAACTTAGCGGAAAATAATTCTAATTCATAGTTTTTGATAGTTACGAGGAACGACTTGGTCGAGAAGTTGTCCACTTCGAAAGAAAGCCTTATCCGTACTTTTATCTGTGGATTCCTGAAGGGGGGCACAAAAAATGTCTCTCGTAATTGCACGGCAACCTCGAAAGGCCGTTCCACACGGGAGAATCGATGTTCCCACAAGATTGAGAAAAGGACTGGATCGAAAGCTCGCGTGGAAATGAGTCGAATCGATTAGGACGAATTGGGCCCGTAAAAAAGTGATTGTATCCACGGTCCGAGAAATTCCAGCCGTGCTTTCAAGCACACGCTAGTTTCCTTTTTCTTTTTTAACAACAATCCGGCGACCGCACGGTTTGGCACACAACAGAAAAACACATACGCTTCTCTTGATACCACTAAATAATTTTCAGATTTTCAGTAGAGTTTCAGGACCTACTCTAGGGTCTCCATATTCACGTGGTAAAATTTGAAACGAATCGGTACACCCAATTTGGAGAATAGTTTCACCAACGATTTAACTTCTCAGATACATGTAGGGTGACTCTATCATATTACCTTAAGGACTATATTCCTCTAGACGGTCAATCGAAAGTAGCTCTTACGGGCAAATTATTATGCTGTTCCGCCTTTCAGATGCATGGTCTATGTTTATTACGTATGCATCGCACACTGACACAAGTCCTACGTATTGTAATATATTGTAATATATTGGATTATATATACGATTTGACTTCTCAGATATATATAGGCTGGCTCTTTCATATCACCTTAAGGACTGTATTCCTCTAGACGGTCAATCGAAAGTAGCTCTTACGGGCAAATTATTATGCTGTTCCGCCTTTCAGATGCATGGTCTATGTTTATTACGTATGCATCGCACACTGACACAAGTCCTACGTATTGTAATATATTGTAATATATTAGATTATATTACAGTATATACGTTTACGTAGGTGCACGTCACGAGTGCCTTCTGCGCAGAAAGGAGAAAACCGCGAGTCCCGTGATTTTTTTCCTCGAAACGAGCCGTGCTCGCTCGTAATTGCGGACGTGGCCAGAAGCCAGAGGATTCTTCTGACTCGGCTTTAACACTTAAAATTCAAGAAACGCTTCGAATGCACCGACGATAAGGTCACTGCCATGTCGGCGCGTTCCTTCGAGACGCTTTGATTTTTCCGACCGCATCTTTCGAAAGTGCAGCTACGGCTTTGTTAAAGATCGCTTTCTCCCAAAAAACCTCAGCAAACACTATATTTAAATCAGGAAACTCGGTAGAGTTTCGCGCCAAATACATACGCACTTGCATACATACGTAGCGCGATGCTATGTATTTGCGCGTATGTCTGTGGCTCATAATTATAAGATAAAAAAACAGTTTGTCCGCGTAAACGTTCACATAAAAAGGATAGAAATTTAAATTTTGTCCCGAGGAAAGGATTTTGGGACTTTTGATTTCTTACTTTTGGTACTAGAGATTGCACGAACTCAGAGTTTTGAAGTGTCTTAATATCGTTAGTCGGTATTAATGTTCGGCCATCATCCATAGCGAATAATTCCCGGTATCCAGGAAACGTCCATTTGTGGCTTATTTACTCTATACGACGTCCATTCATACCAGGAAGTACCTAGCATGCCTCACCTGCAGTTGCACCTGTTGCCACGTGGCCGTTTAATCATAACGGCGACGACCTTTCACGGATCGTTGACTGGATAACGTGTCATTAACACTGGACATTGAAATGCCACTTCATGGAACGATTGATCGGTAATTAATCCTGTAACCGTTAATCAACATCAACGCTCGGTGAATGATGTCCGCGGTATCTGGAGCTGCACTTTTTATCGTCATTAAAACCATTAAACAAGAAAACAACAGAACATTGTCCAATAATAAAAAGACTAAAAATGATCTGTAAAAAGCGATGCGATTGAAAATCACGATATAGAATCGGTAATTAATCCTGTAACCGTTAATTAACATCACCGCTCGGTGAATAATGGCCGCAGTATCTGGAGCTGCACTTTTTATCATCTTTAAAACCATTAAACAACAGAACATCGTCCAATAATAAAAAGAATAAAAATGATCTCTAAAAGGCGATGCGATCGGTGACCACATTGACAATATAGAATCGGTAATTAATCCTGTAACCGTTAATCAACATCAATGCTCGGTGAATAATGGCCGCGGTATCTGGAGCTGCATTTTTTATCGTCATTAAAACCATTAAACAACAAAACAACAGAACATTGTCCAATAATAAAAAGAATAAGAATGATCTCTAAAAGGCGATGCGATCGGTGACCACATTGACAATATAGAATCGGTAATTAATCCTGTAACCGTTAATCAACATCAACGCTCGGTGAATAATGTCCGCGGTATTTGGAGCTGCACTTTTTATCGTCATTAAAACCATTAAACAACAAAACAACAGAACATCGTCCAATAATAAAAAGAATAAAAATGATCTCTAAAAAGCGATACGATCGAAGACCACATTGACGATATAGAATCACATTCTATCGCGTGAGTTCTTTAAGACATCATTTTCTCGATCAAACGGATACAAGAAAACCGCAAAAAGGAACCTCTCACGCGATCCAGTGCTTTGGATGTTTATATTTAGTCCTTTTTTTTCGGTCGATTATTTAATCGGCATGATTACCGAATGCCTATAATGCTTATCGTGGATTCTCTTTTTAAGGGCTTGGAATTTCTCGGAATGTAATTTCTTTTCTTCTTTCTTTGCGTTTGCAGACGTCTCATTTGACGGCACGGACGCCGCTCAGAGCTACGACCCCCAGTTCATGGTAGGCTGCTATTTCCCTGCGGAATTCCAGGGGGAATTCGTGATGCAGGTTAGCGGAATGGGCGCCAGGGGCTCGAGAGACATGGGCGAGCCCATTCAGTACTCCAGTGTCAACATTACTTTCAATTCGATTCCAGTATGGGGCTATTGCCACAAAAGGGTCGGGGGCAACGTGCTCCTCATGGACAGGTGAGTGCCACCTGTTGTACCTTTCATCGCGATTTTATTTCCGATTTTATTCTCATTTTCCGTTACGTACTTTTGCTTAACCCCTTGCTGTGTACTGTTAAAAAAATATTCATGAAATTCCTACACTTTTGATGTACAAGACCGTAGAGAAGTTAAATTCCATGTCTTAAGAATCAACCAGCATGCATTTGTTAAAAATGCCTAAATGTATTTCTAATACCATAACATCTTGCTGTTATTTTGTAAAATTATGTATGGAAATTTATACACTTGTGTATTAAATTTATAATACACTTTGTAACTTATTTTCTTTGAAAATGTGTAATAACGTTAGTATGTCGTGACTGATTAAAAATTTCAATAAAATGTGGTAAAATTGCCACTTTTTTTTTTTTAACAGTGCACAATGACGAGTCGGAGTCGTGTTACGAAATACCCGCGAAACGTGAGAAAAATGGGCCAAATTTTAAAATCGCCAGTCAATTCCTTAGTCAATAAAAAAAAAAAGAAAACGGCAAATGGTAAGGTGGGAAAAAAAAGGGGGGTTAAACAAAATCGTGCGGCAAAGGGTTAATACCGGTGAAAAAGATCTGAACAAGACGTTTACAAGTCACGGTTTTTTTTTTAACATATAAACGTTTTAGCAGAGGTACTACGTGTGTAATTAAATCCATCAAGTGCAGGTTAAATTCGACCGGAGGGCAGGATTTTTTGGTCGCGCCCCGTTTCTTCGGTTTCTCTGATATCGAGCCGGTGCGCGTTATTCAACGCTATTGAACGATATATCGCCGGCAATAAATTAAATAATTAATTGGACGGATTTGTTGCGTCGCGCGTGTTGGCCAGTCGGACGGTAGGGTCCTCGAGCAGTGGTCGATAATTCGGGGAATCTCTCGGAGCAAGATTCCAATCCTTGCTCCTCGTTTTCGGGCAGGACCCTTTGCGGAGATTCCCCATGGAGGACGTCGATATTTCTCTTCGGCTTCCTCTTCCCGGAGAAGACCAGGCTGGGAGTCCTAGACCTCCTGTTAGCGACTCGATGCAGACAACGAAGACGAAGACGAAGACCGCGACGGTGCGTCGACGGAAATAGTCCTTCCAGACGGTGTCGGACACTTCTCTTGCATCGCGACTAATGCTAATTTCAGGGCTGATCGGCCGCGCGCGATGTCTTATTACTCGATATGGAATGTATCGTGACACGCGCGCATTATTTATAGACTGCACTTAAGGCGTTAGAAAAAGTCGAAACGTTCATACACGCGCGTTCCGCTTGGTCTTGTTTCCCAGTTATGGCATTTATGTCTCAATATCAAGGCTGGAATAGTCCAGGGTTTAATAGGACCTGTTTCTCCGGCTAGGAGATTACGCAGGGAATTTTATTGACATTTTTATTATAAGAGTGGTATTAAATGAAATATTAATGAAGGCCTCGTTTCTAGTCTTACTTTACACGGGGTTTGTATGCGTCGAGCCTCCGCGTCATTTTAGCAAAGTAGGCAGCTCCGAATCCGATCAACACTTGAATCTTTTTTAATGGATAAAGAGGTTTATGGTAAGATGCTTAGAGGCTTATTGGGGACAGATGACCGCTTGCGGAGCTCTTTCCGAAAACGAGCATTCATATGTTGCAGAAATAGCTGTAACCGCGGCTTTTAAACGAAATGTATATTTATAGGAGTTTTATTCCTTTTTCTTCCTGTATCCTGAGTCCATTTTTCGTCTCCCGAGGATGTCATGATACTTTTTATAAATGATGGAATTAAGAAGTCGTTCTACTTTGACAACCGAGAAATGGAGTTATTTTTAAACATTCTTATCTGAGGAAATGCACCATACAATGAAATACATCTTTTCGGTGTTTATTAAGTTACTATTAAATAATAAAAAAGACTAATGATAACAAAATATTATACCATTAAGAAGTATGATCCGGTTATTTCTTATGCAAAAAGTATGATAAAATAAGCATTTTGAGAGAATGGATAAATAAAACAAGCTTTTAAAATTTCAGACCGATCGGATCGGTGCATTATTTTATATCTTACCTACACCGTATGCAAAAATGTTTGAAGAAAATGGCGTTTGAATGTTTAACTACTGAAAAATCGTTAAAAAACACCTACAGCTAATTTACATTTTCCCGTTCCATATCGAATACATATACTCCCGAAAATAAGATAAAAATGTTGAATTTTTCAAAGTTCTAAAATAATCTTTTCAACATTTAGGTAAACGCTTATTTTTCGTCACTTCGTCCCACCGTAACACTAGTTTTTCTTTGAAGATGAGCGCGATTAGGCTCAACGTTTCGAAAATACATTTTTTTTTTTTTTTCAATTTTGAAAGGCCAGACCCATTGGCAGATGTCTCGAGACACGTGCGAAGTCACTTTGCCTTCCCTCGTGCCGATGTAAAATCTCATTGAGGGCGATGCGTGAAGCGTGGCCTTCCCTTGTTAGAGACGTCGGCGTCCGAGATGTCGGCGCCAGGAATTTCTAGGGACGGCCGTCGCGGCGCTCACGGTCGTAACAGCATTCTATGGGGTGATAAATTCAACGTGTTGTCTTAACGGCGCATGCTGGCAGAAAATGCTTCGAACAAAATTCCCTCCGCGTATCACCGCGAACCACTTTTGTAGGAAACATTTTGTCGCATCGCTTACCATTTTATGGAATCTGTGGATACTTAACCGTGAAAACTCGATTTGCATATGCCGACCTCGAGCCCCATTTTCGATTTCTTCCTTTACCCGATCTTTATCAGACCTTATAAATACCACGCATTTCTTCGATCGTCTTATTTAGACGTTTTTTAAGTCAAACTTCTTACGACACTGTAGTAGGTAAATGTAAGTTCGCATGTTATAAAAGGAGCCCGATTCGGAAAGTAAAACGCTTTTTTTCTTTTCTCAGTTAAGTACAATTTACATGTACGAGTTTTAGTATTAACATAATTTCCGTAAAGATACTGGCTGGTGTTATTTAATTTCAATTTGATGTATAAAATGTTAATCAGCGACTATGGTTCTGGCTTGATCTTGGAAATTGACGTTAGAATTATCTAGATTATATAGAGAATTCTAGAGAAACTAATTATATAGAGAATTCATTGTTATTAGTATCTCATTCAAATTCTTTTTTTTTTTTCTAGTAATAGTTATATAATTATTTTTTACATTTATCTTTGTACTTTAGTTTGACTCAATTTGCGCAACAATTTTCGTTACCGGTAGTGAATTACTTGCTCTGTTAATTATTAACGATTAAAGTGAAATAAAAACATTACAAACAGGAGAAAAAAAGAATTCTGCCCAAAACAACCAGCACCTAACTCATAAGGACATTTTATAAAAGAATAATTAAGATAATTAATACTATCTAACAACACGCATTTACTTATTGTTAGTTTATCTTTCAATGCGCACGGTGGCCGCGCACTGAATTTTTAACCCTCCACAACCCTCTTAAAAATCTTTTTCGGCACAAGAGAAATTTTGAGCTCAAATATTTATTGTGAATATTTTAGTTCTTATTAAAGAACTTTAACGTTAAACTTTAAAGGCTCTTGGATAACGTACTAGAGGTCTTGAATAGTAATAGTGGCCTTGAATTTTTGAAAAAAGTTAAAACTTCCTATATGAAAGGAGACGTGGGTGTGGACAAAATGAACCTGGGAAGCAACGAAAGCAATAAAGATGACGATAATTACGGTGGGTTAAAATTATCCAGAACTTTCAAAAAATCGCCCGTACAAAACCCTTTAGAATTCCTTAAGATTTTTTAGATTAGGAGTTTATTTTGATAATCTTAAAAGTGCATTGCATAATTGGCAAGCCAAGAGTCGCAGCCTAAGGACGTTGGCGTCGAGAGTTCCTCCAGACGTGTGTCTGAGAGTTCCTCAGGGTGGAACCCCGAGTGTGTCGGGCCGGGCAGTGTGGGTGTCGCCGGAGCAAGAATGCATAAATTGGCATCCACGCACGCCTCTGCTCTTTCGCGTGTACATCGCGATTCACCTTCGATCCTTAACGAGCATCATCGATCTCGGTTTCCACCGCGACGTCGATTTCAGAAAATCTCGATCCCTCTAAGTCCGTTCCTTCGCTGGACCGAAACTCTTGTCGACGAGGATCTGCAGTTTACATAAGAAACTATTTTGAACGCTTGATATACTTTTTTTTCCACTTAAGAGGATATGAAAGGCGCTAAGAAATATAATCGACGTCGATAAAATAAAATTCATCAATACCCTTTTTGGTGGGAATACCGTTTTGAGTACTCAAGTGGGAACATAAGCTGGCGCGTCCCATTACCGACATTTACATTTATGTTAAAGGTTTTTGCAGTCTATGTTGAGAATCATACGAACTGAAGGGTTCTACATGTCATTTCGATAAAGTAATGATAAAAAGATCGACGAAAAACTGTCGAAATCTCGCGAATTCAGTATTCTAACGACTGTTTAGGACCAACATCGCCATCTATGACGTTCAATTGTAACTAAATTTTTTTTCTAAAAACACGTGTTAGCCGCAGGACAAGCCAGCATTTTCTTGCAATAGTTGGTGAAAGTATTTACTATATTTTTCCATATAATTCTGTAATATTCCATTTCTACGATATTCTAAATTGTTCGAGCTAGGTCCTGAAACTCTTCATTTTCGATTCTAAGCCCCCAAGAAGCGTAAAACATCGAAAACGTGTCCGAACCACGCCATGTTGGTTCTAGTCCATGATAGGTAAATCAATTTTTGTTAAAAAATGAAATTTCACGAGTTTCAGGACCTACTTTAGGGCTTCCATATTCCCGTGGTAAAATATGAAACGAATCGGTACACCCAATTCGGAGAATACTTTTCCCAACGATTTGACTTCTCAGATATATATAGGCTGACTCTTTCATATCCTCTTAATTTCTGTTGAAACTTGCGTATGACATCCTTTGGTCAGCAAGAAAGAGCTTCTACCTCGTTAGTTACATTGTCGACTCTGGATGTAAAA